TCCTTGAAAATGGTCAAACCAGTGAAATCTTGCAGGAAATCGGGCACATGTATATTTTCCACAGTTTGAGTCCAGCAAAGTTCAGTAAACGTTCAGCCAACTCCAGTCTACGGATGGGGTCTATAATTTTACTGGATTAGACACTGATTTGATTATTGCGCTGTTGGAGGAAGACACTCAATCTTGAAGGAAGATTCGCTGACCAATATAGCGCTGCTCGAATCTGTGGGAAAAGGTGGTTACACCCCACCCCCTCTGAAAGAATTTTGGCGACGCTCATGACGCACAATTTATGGACATTGAAACTTTATATTTTGGACCTGGCTGCAGTCAGTACAGCGGATAGGCTACAGCATGCAAACAACAGCTGTGGCCCGTTATAGGAGTGAAAAAAATCAGTACAGTATGCTGTGTAATCCAGCCGGATTTTTTTTGCCAAAAGTGGATTTTATTAGTAGACTTTCTCAATTTTCGGGTACTGATTTCAAAAAGATAAGGTGTTATTTTGTGGCCACGTCTTCGGCCGCCATTTTGAATTTCAAAATGGCCGCCATTGTTAATTATGTTTTCACCCGCATCTTCACTTATGAGCAACCCATGAAGAAGAGTAAAATAGTCAGGGAAGACCTGATTTTCTGTTCAAATTGTGAAACCAGAATTTACTCACTGAAAACATTTTCTAAGAAAGGGGCGATGTATTGAACTGGTGGCCTTGTAATGGATACCCATACATCTGAACGTGCATTTATACACACAGAAGATGATGTGAATAGCACTGGATTTTAAACTTATAATAAGAAAGGTGCAAACTGAGACGATGTAATATTGATCCCCCACTCAGGCGCACATTTCCTAAGCTTGACAAGCGCGTGATTTTGGTCAGCAGTGCGCCCCATTGGCTGATGAGGAAGCATTCACCGTGCGTCTCTTTTGCTTACGTGCGCGGGGTCACCACAGTAATGGCTTCTGGTTCTTGTGGTCGGATCGGTCCTTGAAGGGAGATTGTTTGGACAAAAATTAAGGAGGGGATTGTAAAAGTAAAAGATTGGGGCTTCCATCAAATTGCCGTGTTGATTGCGGATGTAAAACAGCCCTCAGTGCCCAAGAAAGTAAGCCAAAAAAAAAAAACTATCAATTTCCGGGGGGGGGGGAATTTATTCTGTGTGAACTAATGTAATTGTCTGACCACCACAGGTTGGAAAAGAAAAGAAAATTAATTTTGTTCAAAAAGCTGCAGTATTGTTCGTTTACATCTTGGTCAATCTTCAACTTTGTCGATTTTACCTTTTACATTCTTTTTAGATGCTCTTTGAAATGCTCAGAATTGGAAGGCTGGTATCTGTTTGTTCAAAAGGAAAAAAAAACATACTAAAAATGTTAATTATGTTTGTAAACAAAGTGAGGTTCAGTTTGTCCTTAAACATCGGAGGATGAAATGACAGAAGGGTGTCAAAAAGAAAAAGAAACAAATTATGTTATCAAATGTATCTCACGGCTGAACGCTTTCAATATAGGCCAAACTGAGTACTTTTATTTACATGTAGTATAATGACCGATGTTCCCGAATCGATGCTCCGACTCCTCCTTCAAGGGTTAAACTGTACAGACAATTGCAGACACACGCGAGTCATGGGACCAGACTGTACCAGCTTTTTTATTATTAGAAGCTGACAACAAACAACTTTGCATCCATAGTCTGCTATCACTGTTCAATATCGGTCTCGTCACGATCTGTCACCGTGAAATGCTTGAAATCGACTGGCCGGCGCTGAGCAGAGAAAAAAATGGAGGGAGGGAAGCCTTGTTCTCCCTTTTTCTCTGGGGGAAAACTGGTGATTATTTTTTATCATCAGATCAATAGAGGGGGCTATTGAATTCTTTGAGCAAACTTTTTTACATTTTCTTAGTGGTGGATTTCACCAAATGGCAATATTTCTGCGCGCGAGCTCATTAATATTTGTGATCCCACGGGGGTTTTAAAATAAGACATGCCATAATCAGGAGGCACGATAGAAATATTTCTATAAATCCCGAATTTGGGACTGATAGTTTCCAGTTCGGGGTATTTCTTTCACACACACACACACACAAAAACAAATTTCGGGCCTATTTTGGATGGAGGCGGGCGGCTACATTCAGAAATGAGCGTTTAGTTTTACTACGGTTTTGGGGGTACCTTCCTCGAAAGGCGAATGGAAAAGCTTTTCGTGGCTAAACCCCATGAAATTAACACGAAAAGGGATCTTTTGGCCATAATCTTGAATTTCTAGTAAAAAAACCGAGGTCAACCTCTTCAAGAGAGTCAACAGGCGGCGCTATTTTGGTCCGATTTTGCACTTTTTTCCATGGGCGCATATTTGGTGTAGTGCAACCTTAGAGGGCGCCATACTCATTCTGTTCGATGAATCATGAGGGCGCTGTTGCCTATAAGGTGGCGTTGGCAACTACTAGCCCAGAGAGGGCGCTAATAAAATTTGCCGCATGACTATTTTGTTCTACAGAGGGCGCCACTCATTTCGTCAATAGAGGGCGGTAAATATTGATTCAACAGAGGGCGCTCTTGGTTATGCGCGGCGGAATGCGCAATATTTGAAAACGTGTACGGAAAAACAGGACGCGAGAAAAACAAGTTCACGAAGATCTGAAACATTAGCTCGCATGTTTGTAAAGGTAGGCTAATGTAAGCCCCCTAATTGTAAATCCAAATAAAAAAAAGGTTATTTATGGGATCACGCAAATACAGCCTTTAATGAAAGTTCGCACGATTGATGAGTTGAAGTCTCAGTTTCCTTGGTACAGTGTACACGTCGTGTACATGTAGGTCATGGCTATGGTGTAGGCCCGGCTAATCAGTTTCCCTGCCCTATCATGTCTATTAAACGTATGGTGAACATGGTGAACCACAGGTGAGCATCCTCAGTCATGTCAGTGCATGCGTTGAGGTAACCTACACATGTATATGTACGTTACTTTGTGTCACTTGCCATTTTTTGTTTACATCATGGGTTGCAACGCTACCTACAAGTATTTTTTAATCCAGCCTCCTTTTGTAGTGGTACTGTGTAATTGTATATACAGTGCACATCACTGCATCATCCACAAACATGGTACATGTATTAATTCATAATTGTCCAGTTGTGCACTCCATACTTATGCATACATGTAGTCAAGAGCATTATGGGAAAAGCGTTAGAGAGGGGCAGACGTCGGACCCCACAAATCTGGGGGTAGCTGTTGTTGACAAGATGGCTTCTGCAAACTGATCTCACGTTTGTAAATAAACTTAGGCCTTATGGTCTCTGCATATTTTTGTTGTTAATCCGCGTTGTCACGATTGTCATTGAAATTATGTCTGTACATGTATCTGTTCATAATGATTAACGTTTATCCCGCCATACTTTGACTTATCAATGATAATATCATGATTTATGCTATGGTCATCATGACTGTACACTGTACCAGTGACACTGACTAATTCTGTTTTTTTTTCTAATCAGATTTTCGCTTGAGAGTACCTGTGAGGTACCCAGGCCTATATATTATAATCATCAATATTTTTCTTTTTAATAGCTCTAGAAAACAGTGTACATGTACCAAGTTAAAAATGGGGTTTAGACTACAGGCGTACTATGCCTAGGACACATATGTACGTGTCATTTATGTAGGACATAAGAGCGTATTTTGAAAATCTTAGGAACCACAGGCCAAGTGCTGTTAGTTCCACATGCATCGGTTTGACTATTTTCATAGGTGGGGATATTCAACTTGCCACAGCCATAGCGCAGTGTATGTCACCTGCTCTGCTGGTGTCAGTCCAGTCACACAGACATGACAGAGTCTACATGTTATGCATGTACATGTAGGTTGCTCGTGTGATAAAAACAGGATTTCACCAACAATAGTCTAACCGACTGGTCGAGTATTTCCTAAGTTTCACTGCTAAATTAGACTTACATTGTACATGTGTGTAATTGTTTAATGCTTTCAGATGGTGTACTCATAACATTAGGTTACTGCTGGGAAAAATGATCGGCATCACCATATCAAATGCTTTCCTTCATGTACATGTTTATCTCAAACTGACATCAGGGATATCAAGTTATTCAAACATCTTAACTGAAAGGAAGTAGCTAACATCTCATCCCTGTGTTATTTGTGTCTGGAATTACAGTAGTCTTTATAGAGGGCCTGTGTATGACGTCATGTCAGAGGGCATTTCTTTCTTCCTCTAGGATTAAATCTAAATAACAAAACATGTCCTCTGGGAGGGCGCTCCACACAGGCCCTCTGTAGGCCAAGTTGCTTACATTAGCCTTATAGTAGAGTCCCCTAACATGGCGCACTTGACTTTCACTTGACTTGTTTCATACAGTGTTGCCAGACGTCTTGTTGAGAAAACTTTAAGTTCATATGGGCACTATAACCTTCAGCTTGCGTACGCTGTTCAACATTTGTTAATATTTTTGGAGTCATGAATTTTTGTCCATTGAATATTCAATAAAGTTGGCGCCTGTGAATTGGGCAAAAATTCTACTAAGTGTTGCCTGACGTGCCATGCTTGAAAAAATCTCAAAGAATCCCACATACATGTAATTTAAGAAATTCTGTAAAGTTGATCAATTCAAATAAATTATGATTACCTCCGTTTACAGACCTAAACAAAACTTTTTTAGAAAATTATTTATACATTGTTGGATGCATGTTTTAAAGAGTCCATTTTGCACTTCAAAAACGAAATCTTGAAAAATTGAGCCAAAAAAAAAACTTAAGTGAAACTTTGTACTTTGAAGTAGGTCAGTAAAACCAGGAGTTTTGAATCAGAATAGTAGGAGTTTGATAAAATTTCACTTGTCATGAAATTTGAGGTAAAAATATTGCTCCTGCGAGGCACTGGATGCACAAAATCGGACTGCGCCTACGTTGTGGGCTGTGCAATAAGTGAAGGATGTTGCTGTGACAACAGTTAAAGCTGAAGGATGCATTGTTTATTTTAATTGTAGGAGGAAGTCAGAGTAAGAGAAGATGATGGAGCAAGTACAGGCTGATGTGTGGGCAGCATCACCGGAGAGAGCAGAACCTGAGTAAGTTCCTTCCCAGCATCAGGTTATTCAAAGACTAGTTGGATTGAGAACCTAAACTGTATTCAGGTACATGTATTCTTGCAAGTTCTCCTGTTTTGTTATCTTACATGTACATGTAATGCCGGCCTTCCCAGATCCTTGAAAATCCAGGAGATTTGTGGAAGATAAAGCAGCATTGAGGAAGGTACATGTAGAGCCCAGCCCAGTCACTTTGATTTCACGAGGGACTTGATGCCTTTGTAGAATTTTGGAGAATGTACCATTAAGGGGAGGATTTTTTAGGATTTGGGAAGATTCCCAGGAACCACAGTCTTTCTATGCTTTCCTTTTGTCTTGCTACTTGAATGATCTTTTATAATTGTTTTGTCTTGACTCCAGTAGCTTGGATGAGTTCAGCCACATAGAGAATGATGAAGATGACTCTGACATTAGCCGTAGCACAGACAGTGAAATTAGGTACGTGTACCTTCCTTGGCCAGAGACCATGTGTGAAAAGATTCTAGATAACAGAAAAAATTAACAATTCTATGCGAAAACTTTGTATTGTGTTTTTCAGTTTCAAAATTTGACAGAGGGGCAATTCCACGGTAACGGAATTACATTTCAGAACAAAATTGACTGTTAGTTTTCATGTTATGAATTAGTCTAATGACCTTCCTGATTGCAAACACCTTAATAAGGTCTGGTTATAGCCCTACCATCAAACCAGTAATAAAATATTAACATCCTACATGTAGAAAAGTCCAAGGCCCAGAATGTTTTGGTAACGGAATTACGTCAGAAAATGAAGCATTTTTTAAATCATAATTTTTGAAACAAATTCTATGGCATTTATAACATAAAGGCCATCAGGTACCAATTTATCTTTTTAACCTATAGTTTCAACTTTATTGTAGCAGCAGTTTTAGGGTATTAATACTTACAAATATTCCATACTGCGTCATTTTTCCAAAAAAGGTAGTGGTAACGGAAGTACAAAAAATGGCAACAGAATTACACATGTGAATGTACATGTACCTTGAAAAGTGCCAATTTTTCAACAGCAATCTTTCTTTGTTTAATCTGGGCACGTTTTTCAGCTTTAATCATATTAATATAAACCATAAAACAATGCATTTGTATGCCTGTCTGAAAGCTATTACAATTCTTATACCTAGCAACAAGAGTGTATTGGAAAATACGCAATTGTTATACCTATCAACAAGGGTGTATTGGAAAATATGCAGTTGTTATACCTAGCAACAAGGGTGTATTGGAAAATATGCAATTGTCATACCTAGTAACAAGGGTGTATTGGAAAATACGCAATTGTTATACCTAGCAACAAGGGTCTATTGGAAAATATGCAATTGTTATACCTAGCAACAAGGGTGTATTGGAAAATACGCAATTGTTATACCTAGCAACAAGGGTGAATTTGAAAATACGCAATTGTTATACCTAGCAACGAGGGTGCATTGGAAAATATGCAATTGTTATACCTAGCAACAAGGGTCTATTGGAAAATATGCAATTGTTATACCTAGCAACAAGGGTGTATCGGAAAATACGCNAATTTGTATACCTAGCAACAAGGGTGTATTGGAAAATACGCAATTTTTATACCTAGCAACAAGGGTGTATTGGAAAATATGCAATTTTTATACCTAGCAACAAGGGTGTATTGGAAAAGAACGTGAAATTTCCAACTTCTGAACCCCGAGTTGTGATCAGAAACAAGGCAGTTGCTTCAAATACATTTGGCAGCTTCAAACTGCTCAATCCTGCTTCAGTTTGTGGGTTAGGACTTGTTTCCATGTATATCCAACAGTATACGTTAAACATGGTAACAGAATGACACATTTACAAACTTATAAACACTGAACCTAATGTGCTGTGAAATCACAATATAATTGTCCATGTGGGCCAATGCAGTTATGCTTTACTACATGTACAATGCAGTCATCTACAGTTGTAAAGTAAGTTTTGATGTTATTTTCAGTGAGTGACCATGACCATTTGCCCGAAATTCATCAGAACCTTAGACCAGTTCAAACTGGGACGGTTTAACTTTACCATATGATCCGAGGTTGATCAAAATTGTTGATGGAATTTAAAAGAAATTCTACCTCACTCTGACGGCCGGACCTCTTTTAATTCACATTGCAGCTGCCTGTGTCACAAAGTAATGAAATAGTCGTTAACTCGCAGAGCCGTAGCATGATGTCATCAAAACCTGCCTCTACAGGATGCTTTCAACGACTTTTCTTTCCAGTGCACCTCATACAAAGGCAAATTTTCACTCATGCTTTTGACATCAGTAGCGTTCTTTATTTGTAACATAATCTATAATTCTAAATATTTATATCTAAATTTCATAAAAAGAGAAAATATGAATTCTAATGTGACGGACTTGTACATGTACATGTAGTTGACTAATTAACAGGAATTATTGACATTTCTGTACATCCACATACTGTACCTCATAAATTACATGTACTTTTTGAGGCGTAGGCCTGACAGTCAACAACAAAATCTGTTTACAAAATGATTATCCCGGTACATGGGTCCTTCAGTGAATAGTAAGCCTAATTAATAGTAAAATCAAACAATATTTTGCTAAAATTAACTACATGTATGTATAAACTTGTTCATGTGCCTCAATGCTGCACATACATGTACATTTACATGTATAGTGCAGGTAGGTACATGTAAAGTTTGACCTGTAGGCTGTGAGAAACTGTGCATTTTGTAATGAGCACATGTATGAAATAATCACTTCTTGAGAGTAACATTGTGAAAAGCAATGTTCAGTAAACTGCTCCTGAGAATATTATGTATAATATACTTAGTTGAATTCTCACCAATATGCTAAATGCTTCAATAAAGATCTGTAGATTAACAAGTACAGTGTATGGAGGGAAGTTACCATGTCATGCATGTGCCCCGTGCAAACACATGTAAGGTGTAAACTTCTGCCCTATATGGTACATTTAAAACAAAAAAACAGATGTGATTGCTACCCTCTTTGACCAAACTGAGAATCTCTTACTTGTACAGCCTCAAGACATGCACACATGTAGTTCTGAGATGTAATTCTGTGACCCTCTGTAATTCTGCTATCATGTAATTCCGTTACCATGTAATTCTGTTACCCTCTGTAATTCTGCTATCATGTAATTCCGTTACCATGTAATTCTGTTACCCTCTGTAATTCTGTTACCATGTAATTCCGTTACCAATGTTTCTATAGAAGTAAATACATTTATGTGAGAACTTAATGGTTGAGGTCATTACTAGGCAGATTAAGGAAGAGAATTTACAGCGGTGGAATAATTCTGTAAGAAATTGGCAAAGGAGAAAAACCTTTGTAACATTGGTAATGGAATTACAGCTACTGTAATTCAACCCAAATTTTGTAGTTTTCTCATCCAAGTACCATGTCCAGGGAAAGAAAGTGCCTTTGAAACAAACATCAACGTGTATGGTTCCAAACCTTTGCAGTGATAAACTATTCAGAGGGATTAGTTAAGCATGTAGGATTTATGGCATTTTAAAGTAGTTAGCTCCTTACCATAAGCAAAAAAATATGAAATTTCAAATAATATTTTCAGGAAAACCAAACATTATTTTCAAAAAAATTTCTTTCGCTCCGTGCCAGGTGTACATTTATTGACAGTGCACTGTCAATTTAATTTTTATTCCATCAGCTTGAAAATTAGCCATTTTTCTCATTTCCCATGGAAGTTCCACTCAGAAAAGATATTGCATGTTTTTTGTATCTGTGGGTAATTTCTTTGTTGTCAGAGGAGCGGAGAAGGAAAAAGTCCAAAAATTTAAAACAAACAAAGAGAGAAAAGACAAAGTGAAGGGAATTTATTCCTTGTTTCAGTTTTGGTTTTGTTTTCGGAGTGAAGTCACCCGTCTGTTTTCTTAACAGAAGTCAACTCACAGAGTCAGTGATGACGTGTGTTTTTTATCCCCATTTTGTTCTTCTGAAGAACCAAGCAAAGGAGAAACTCAAGTTCCAGTGAGGACTCCGGTGACAGCGACCCTGACAGTGATGAGGAACAAGAACAGTGGATGAAGAAAACAGCAGGTAGAAAAGCTGTCACATTGCAGTCATGTTTGCCATCTGTTTAGAAATCAATTTATGCTGGTGCAGTTGGCTGTGGCACTTTAACCCTAAAAGAGCTGCATTACTTTTATCAGCTCACAGGGGGGGTATGGCATTCCACAAGGACTTGGCTGTCGAATGCCAGCTTATTTTACAAACTTGGTATGCATGACTTTCCTCGTCAGTACAAATTTGAAGTTTTATCTCAATCTGTCACATGGTTTTGACAGTCACCTGAAGTTGAAGGCTGCACACGTGCCAGCCTGTGAACATTGAGCATGGCAGTGGAAAAGTATACAGTTTGGGTTGATCTGTCTTGGAGAAATGGATGCTGCTCAAGAGAGTTATGTTTGTCATAAAATTGTGTCTGAAGCCACTTCTTTAGGACTTACACATGTACCTCAGCCATACGTTTGGATATTGCCTTAAAATTGCTTTTGGGGGACATGTTCAAAACTTAGTCCCCCAGAACAGGGATAATAAAACCACCTTCTTTTTTTATTTTTACCAGGTGTTAAAGGGGATGGCAGCGTGGTTGGTCCCCTGCCTGTGAGCTCATCTTCTGGCATCACTGCCCTGATAGAGTAA